TCATAAGCCATCACTAAGGAAAACAAAGTACAGACAGTAAATGATAAAGGAAGCAGTTTCACAATTCTAGATCTAATCACCTTCTGAGACTGGCTTGTTTTGCTTACAAGCAAATCCGGGTTTGGGCGGTACCTCAATGGATCTTCCTCTTGAGATTCCACCTTCGACTGCTCCTGTAAAGTTTTCTCTGCAGCAGTACCACCAGCAGCAGCCCTTGTGAGCTTTTGAATTTGGTAATCAAGCTTTTTATCAATTGGCCGAATCTACAACACAAAATGTCAAAATAAGGAAATAAAAAAACAAAAAAAATAAACACAAATTCAAAATACATTTATCAACTAAGTTAGCTGACATTAAACAAAAACTTTAATGTAAATTAACAGAATGGAAAACCAAAAGTTCATGTTTGTATATCATCACAGACCTTCTCAAGAAACAGTCTAATCTCCACAAGGCTCCTGACAACGGGATGGCCTTCAATCGGCAATCCTTTGGCCTTACGAAGAATATAGTAAACTATGGATTGACAATAATTTAGAAGAAGCAAATGCTTCGCCTCCAGGTAGCTCATTCCTTCTGCAGTAGGCAGTTGGCTCTGCTTAACCTAATGACGAACCAAAACATAAGAGTTCCGATAATCCGAAAAAGGTTAACGAGAAATTACTATCACCTTCTGAGTCAGATCTTGCACTTTGATCCTCACGTTATCAAGTCCGTCTTTCATCTCTTTGAGCAACGCGACGAGTTTAGGAGTTTCCCTGGATTCCAGCATAGAAAATATATAATCACAAGAAGGGAAAAGAGGAGAGTGAGCACTATTAACCTAAAGTGGAATTTCAATATAAATGGCAGTTTACTCAGATTTAAAAAAAATATAGTCTATTTATGCATCAAAATATAATGGAAAACTAGATAACCTCTTCAGGTTTATCTTCAAACTCATTCATAAGCTCTTTCATGTAAGAACTTTGTTTCGTCCGCCGCAGCAATTCTTTATCCCTCCTTAGGGCCTGTTTCTCTTGTTTTGACATCTTATCGTCATCCATGCTTGTAGGTGCGAATTTCGGTGGCCGGTATACACCACCAACATCCTAAGTAAGAAAAGGAAAAACAAATGAATCAAATGCATAATTCAATTCAACAAATCAACCTAGGGAAATTTACAAACATACCAACCATTTCCTATGTTTTTACATATCTAACACCTAAATTTTGCTTTTTACATTTATACCACCAAAATCTTTCATACCACATCAAAAATACCACCATTTTAACTTTTAAAAAGTGAAATTTACCTTTTCATACATAGGTAAGGTGGTATGTATGCAAAAATTGAAGTTTAGATGTTAGATATGTGAATACATGGGAACTGAGTGGTATGTATGAAAATCTTCCACCAATCTAATGTGTAAGGAGATACATGAGAGATGTGTGGACTATGCATTTTGGTATAGCTTTGTTTGAGAAGTGAGGAAATGAAATGGCACATCATTAGAAGATAGAAGGAATAAAAGGCATGCAACTTATGACAAAAAACATTAGTTATGAGAATTTTAAAAAAATGCCTATATAAGTATACTGGAAACAATAATAATGATAACAATATCACCAAGCAAAAGAAAGGTAGTATCTTTAGGAATCTATGAAGGGGATAAAAAAGCTTCTCCATATAAATGACATCAAAACTCCAAGTTTGCAATAAATCAACTAGATAAGAGGAACCCACCAGAACGTTGCGAACACACTAACAATCTGAATACATGATATAATAAATACAACTCCCTGAAGTAATGTGATAAAATTCAACTTAAAAAGTACTTCACTCATAAGCCATCACTAAGGAAAACAAAGTACAGACAGTAAATGATAAAGGAAGCAGTTTCACAATTCTAGATCTAATCACCTTCTGAGACTGGCTTGTTTTGCTTACAAGCAAATCCGGGTTTGGGCGGTACCTCAATGGATCTTCCTCTTGAGATTCCACCTTCGACTGCTCCTGTAAAGTTTTCTCTGCAGCAGTACCACCAGCAGCAGCCCTTGTGAGCTTTTGAATTTGGTAATCAAGCTTTTTATCAATTGGACGAATCTACAACACAAAATGCCAAAATAAGGAAATAAAAAAACAAAAAAAAACACAAACTCAAAATACCTTAATCAACTAAGTTAGCTGACATTAAACAAAAACTTTAATGTAAATTAACAGAATGGAAAACCAAAAGTTCATGTTTGTATATCATCACAGACCTTCTCAAGAAACAGTCTAATCTCCACAAGGCTCCTGACAACGGGATGGCCTTCAATCGGCAATCCTTTGGCCTTACGAAGAATATAGTAAACTATGGATTGACAATAATTTAGAAGAAGCAAATGCTTCGCCTCCAGGTAGCTCATTCCTTCTGCAGTAGGCAGTTGGCTCTGCTTAACCTAATGACGAACCAAAACATAAGAGTTCCGATAATCCGAAAAAGGTTAACGAGAAATTACTATCACCTTCTGAGTCAGATCTTGCACTTTGATCCTCACGTTATCAAGTCCGTCTTTCATCTCTTTGAGCAACGCGACGAGTTTAGGAGTTCCCCTGGATTCCAGCATAGAAAATATATGATCACAAGAAGGGAAAGGAGGAGAGTAAGAACAATTTTAGGGTCTTCTAATAATCAAAAAGGAATTGAAAAAAACCTGGATAGGGTTTCCTCATTGAGATCGCCCTGCTCAGCCATTTGCGGCGCTACAACTCTAGAGGTCAGGAAAACACAAAGGAGCAAACCTTCGAGTTTTTCGGCCGGATCTTTTCGATCTGGCTTATTCCATGGGTTCCGTCGCTCCTTTGGTTTAGGTAGATAATACGGTTTTTTTGAACAGGTACCACCTTCAAGCACTGATAGGGTTCTGCAAAGATGCCGCCTTTTCACGAATTTAGGTCAGAGCACGCCGCTGCTCCCGTGAAGCCTCCTGCCGTTCCCGAAACCGCTCGAAGCCGTATTGCCTCTCGCCGTTCCCGAAACCGCTCGAAGCCGCAGGACCTAGGCGAAAATGGGGTTTTCTAGGAGCTTTCTTGGAGCAGCCCTGTTTTCTCGTCAAGTTCTCACCTAGGTTTCGTTTTCGGGAGTTTTTCAGCTGGATCTTCTCGATCTGCTTATTCCATGGGATAGGTTGCTCCTTCGATTTCAGGTAAATAATATGAGTGGGGAGAAGTGAGGATTTTCTTAATCATATCACCAAAAAACCTAATGGGATTTTGCTTCAAAGGGTTTCTCTTAAGAACGGTAAATATGCACCTCTTTATTTGCAAAAAAGATTTTGACCATTGAAAAGTGCTATCTGAAACTTCTTAAATGGACTCCTGGTTTTAACCCTATGGAAGAGCCACCTATTGTGCCTATTTGGATACGGTTTCCAGGATTGAAACTTCATTATTCCAATCCGAAAGTTCTTTATTCCTTAGGATTGATTTTTGGTAAATCATTGAAAATGGATGTGGCTACGAGCACTTTGTCTAGACCCTCGATGGCTAGAATATTAGTTGAACGGGATGTAACTTCTTTTTTTCATGACTCTATTTGGTTGGGTGATTCGAATGATGGCTATTGGCAGAAAGTGGAGATGGAATTTGTTTCGCATTACTGTACAAAATGCAAAATATTTGGACATCTTCTCTCTCTTTGTTACAATGTTCATCATGAACTGCGTAAATATAAAAATGAGTCAAGAATTAATCAGACTGGTTTGCATCATAAATCTAAAGCTCCTCAAATTATCCAGCATAATCTGAATGATAAAGTTGGTTCTTTACATTGTCTAGATCGTAATAATTTTTCTTTACCAAATGAAAATACTGCTATGGTTACTAAAATGCATGTGAATGTCATTCCTGTTTCTATTGCCAATTCACACAATAATTCTGACATTGGAAATTTACTTTCTTATGAGAGGGATCAAGATTTGAGCAATGTTTCTATGACTGATGCTTTCTATTATTGGTACCGTTGTTTCTTTACAATCTTTAGATAGTAATCAATTATCTATACCAAGTGGGAATTCTTCTATAGTTCCTAAATTGGTCGATAATCCTTTGATAATCGAGAATGTTCTTCCTCCATCTGCTATTATACTGTCCAATACTGAGGATAATGGAAATTTGATTTCTAAAGAGTTGGTTAGAGATTTTTACAGCGTGTTTAATTCTAGTAATTTGAATGTTGATAAACAATTGATTGTGCATAGAAGCCCGTTGAAGGAGGTTGGTCCTGCTCTTACTGGAATGGAGTTAGAGGAGGATTGGATGATCCAACGATCATCAAGAAAAAGAAAGTTCTAAGGGTATCGAGAACTAAGATATATTAATCCTGAGGCTTTGCAAGTTTAATTGCAAGGAAAAGAAATTGCTAAGCTGAAATGCTACTGTTACTAGATCGAATAAGGGAAAGATTGTTGTTGATGAAATTTAATATGTTAATTTGGAATATTAGAAGCATAGCAAAATCTTATGCTTCTAATAGGCTTCTTAATCTTATTCGTGCTTATAATTTAAATTTTTTTAGCATTCTTGAGCCTATGATTGCTACTGTAAATAATGATGTTTATATGCAAAGATTTGGTGATTTCAAAGCTTTTGCTAATATAAATAATAAAATTTGGTTTTTATGGAAAGATTTTTTGAAGATTGATATTCTTATCAATCATTCTCAACTTTTGCATATTTGTATTCATTATTCGCAAGATTCTTTTTTTTTTTTGTCTGTCATTTATGTGGGTTGTACTAAACAAGCTCGGGCTGAGCTTTAGAATTTGATTAAATCTATTAATCCTTCTAATGAGGATTGGCTTATGGGAGGTGATTTCAATATTATTTCTTCTGCTATTGAAAAGAAAGGAGGAATCACTCCTAACTTTAAGAGTATTGATGAGTTCAGTGATACTCTGATGGATGTGGGGCTTTATGATTTGGGGTTTCAAGGAAACCCTTTTACTTGGCATAGAGGAAATGTTTTTGAAAGGTTTGACATATATGTTGCAAATACTAATTGGATAAATAAATTCTCTTTGCATAATGTTTCTCACTTAGCTATTGATACTTCTGATCATGCTCATATTCTTTTAAAAATATGGAATAGTTCTTATATCATTCATTACCGATTCAGATTTTATAATATGTGGATTCTTCATGATAATTTTAAGCAGTTCCTTAAAGATAACTGGAAGATTCAGGTTTCTGGCTCTTCCGGTCATAAGCTTTGGGTTTTGCACAAGAATCTTGCTGAAGCTCTTAAGAGATGGAATTGGGATGTTTTTGGGCATCTTCAAAAAAAACATTGAGGCTCTTGAAGAAAAGGTTAAAGGTTTGGAAACTGATTACGCTAATAATAATATTGATTTGCATGTTTTGTTTCAGGGTCAGAAACAGTTGACTGATGCTATTAATATGGAAGAAACCTTTTTTGCTCAAAAAGCTGCTAAGACTCATTTCTTGAATGAAGACAGAAAAACAACCTACTTTCATGCCAGTATTAAGAATCGTCAAAATGCTAACTTGATTTCAAGGATTGTTGGTACAGATGGCACTGTTTTCCATAATCTTAATGATATTGCTATTAATGGTATTCATTATTTTTTTAATGCTTTCCAAAGAAATGGTGATTCCCTCACCCCTATTGATAGGAATCTTTATAGTAGAGATGTTACTATTAATAATGTTTTGCTTACCAATATTCCTAGTAGTGTTGAAATTAAAGAAATTATTGATCTTATAGAAACGGGCATAGTTGTTGGTCTGGATGGTTTCACGGCTGAGTTCTATAAACATGGGTGAGACATTATTCATACTGAAGTTGTTGATACTATTCAAGACTTTTTTAGAGGAAAGGAACTGTCGAGATATTTTAAATCCTCTAATATTGTGCTGATTCCCATGGTGCGTGATGCTAATACCTGGGATGCTTTTCGACCTATTAGTTTGAATATTTTTCTGTCTAAGGTTATCGGTTAAAATGTTGCAACAAATTCTTAATGATATTATTAGCATGAATCAATCCGCTTTTTTGAGAGGCAGGAATATCTATGATAATGCTCTTATAGTAGAAGAGCTTCTCTTGGATATTGATAAAAAAAAAACATATGAGGGAATGCCATCTTCAAAATGAACATTAAAAAAGCTTTTAACACTATTCGTTGGGAATTTATTATTGATATCCTTTAAAGTTATTGGTTTTAATAATATTTTTTGTAAGCTAATTTATAGATTATTCAATGACAACTTTTACTCTCCTCTTATTAATGGTACTAAACATGGTTTTTTCAATGCTCAAAGGGAATCAAGCAGGGAGATCCTCTATCTTCTTATCTCTTGATTATTATTATTACATTTGATTATTTATCTAGATGCTTGAATGGTTTATTTAGTAGATATCCTAGTTTGAATTATAATCATAAAGGCAAATTGTGTATTTCACATTTGTGTTTTGTTGATAACTTGATTATCTTTACCAATTAAAGAGTTTGGCAAGAGATTTTAAATTTTTGGAATATTTTTGGATTGCGAGATTTTAAATTTTTAGAATCTAAATTTTTAGAATCTTTTTGGATTGCTCTTTAATACTTCTAAATGTTCTTTCTACTGTTCGAAAAATATCAATGTTTCTAAGAGAAATTGGATTATGGATTTTATTGGTTGTAATAAAGCTTCTTCACCTTTGACATATCTAGGTTTTCATATAGATAAGGCTAAGAAGAGAAGTGCTCTTTTTCTGAGTTTATTTGATAAAATCAAGAATAAGATTTTATCATGGGAAAATAAGTTTCTTTCTTTTGGTGGGAGGGTAACTCTTCTTAAAAGTGTTCTTACTTCTCTCCCTCTTTATACTCTTCAAGTTATGAATATGCCTTTGAATGTTATTATGAAGATTGAAAATCTTTTTATTTTTGTGGGAAGGTAAAGGTAATTCCAAAATCCATTTGAAGAGTTGAAATAAGCTTTGTAAACCTACAGAGAAATGTGGTCTGGGTTTTAGAAGCTTAAATGATTCTATTAAGATCAATTTTATGAAATTATGGTATCATTTTTGTTAGAATAATTTTATTTGAGCTTCTTTGATGCATGTTAAATGTTGCTCTAATAAGAATCTTATGACTATTACCTATAATAAAACTGATTCTTTTATTTGGCGTGAAATGCTTAAAGTTGCTAGAAATACTGGTGATTTAATTTGTTGGGACATTGGTGAAGGTGATTGTTCCTTTTGGTATGATATTGGCTGGGTAAAGGGGCTCTTACTGACTTTTATGGTGGTCCTGAGACTATTAATACCAAGATTAATGACCTTTGATCTTATAGTAATTGTAATTGGTGTAGTCTGAATTGAAGATGATCAATTTAACTCCATGAAAAGTTAAATATTCATTTAGAAGAAGTCAATATTACGATTAGCCTCTTAGATTGATTTATTACAAATAAGAAAATGGACATACATATTTTATTCATTAAATAGATTAAATAATTAAAACTTGAGTTTGATTCAAAATTATATTACCAAACATACAATCAAAGGATCTAACTGTAACCATCATAATAAATATCTTTTTAACCAACATAAAATGATATCATCATAATGAGGAATCTATTGATCATATTTTTATTAAGTGTCATTTTACTACTGCAATTTGGAATGATATTATTATGAAGTTCTAGTTAACCAGGCTCAACAAGATTTGTTTCTATATAACCATATTTTTGATGTTTTCAATGCTTGGAAGCTTCTTGGTTATGGTTTTTTTACTGCTATACCTACTGTTATTATTTGATTTATATGGCTTGCTGGAAATGATAGTAAATTCAACAATATTTTTCCC